CCTCATTTGAAATTGTCAGTGAATTTGGATAACTGTCATCCACATTTATAAAGCCTTACTAATTAACATTGTTAAAAACTGAGCTGTCCAGAAAAGCTAGATGGTATCACAATTTGCATTATGGATGCACAAAATACTTTTTTTATCTTATTTTTCTCTTTCACATCTGAACCATAGTGAATGGCTCCTACCTCTGTATGTGAATGCCAGAAAGCTTTGCTCAGCAAGTGATCCATCTGCAACACATATTCCATACTGTTCATTTTACTTATAGTAAGTCTGAACACAGTGTGTCTATGCATGAGATAGACAGCATGTCATAGTTAAGTCTGGGTTTGTTGCTCTCCTGCAGAGTTGTCTTTCTTTTTTTATTGACTGTGTTACTAAATATTGAGAGGCAGTGCTTGAGAATTTCTTAACTTCATTTCAGATCCTACTTGACCTACATTTATCTGCATGTGGATAAAATGTTGTTTTAGTAAGAAAATAAAGGTATTTGTTAAACTGTGTCATAAATATATTCCAATGTAAACATGATTCTTTACAGTAGAGATCTTTCAGAAATCTTAATTCTTTTTTTTCTTTTTATATTTTGCACTCTACACACATTGTCACTAGAAATGATAATTGCTGTATTTTGAGCAGCAAAAATGCATCTCCTATATTTTCATGTTTTTGTACAAATAATTATGCTCTTTTTCTTATGTAAGAATGCCTCTCTATAATTGCTGAGATTTTATGAATCATTTTTAGACACTGATGAGACTGTTTATTGCATAGGACAAAAGTTGAGAATGTTGAAGAATTTGGTGGCTGTTTTTTCCAGGTTGTGCTAAGTAATTGATCAAATAGCTAATTTTTAAGAAAAAAAAATAAATGTTATCTTGAATTCTAAAATGGTTACATTGAGCTTTTATGGCAACTAGTAAATTTTTGCCCTGTCAAGCTTTGATACATGTAAAACATTGAGATTATATTCTCATTTATTTATATCAAGAGTAAATTCTCTTGAATAATCTCTAGTTTACAAAAGTAAGCTAGAAACCATATTGTCATAATGATTAGAATTCTAGCGGGCAAACAAAAGAGCTCTACCTCATTATTATTTGCATCTGAAGTAGCACTCTCAAATCATAATGTACTTTAAAGACTTCAGATTTAAACAGAACGTCAAGATGTTTTCATGGCAAAATGAAGTCTGGCTTCCCAGGAAAGCATCCTTTATGTTCTCTGATAACCACACCATGACTGAAAAGGAGATAGCGGTGTTGTGACCAGACAGGAGCAGTTCATGTGCTGCATGCCTGGATGTCTTCTGCTAACTGCAAGGTAGCATTATATCTGCCTTTACATACAGTAGAGATTCTATATTAGTCTTTCCTCATACTGCTAATTTTCATGAAACTTGCAGGGATATAATTACCTCTAATTATGCTGTGTCAGATAGGGCAATGAATCCAAAAGTGATTAGGGAGAAAGGGAAGGATTTGGATAGTTCAAGGCACAATGCCTTGGGAAGTCAAGCTGAAAACAGATAGAAAATTTCCTTCTGTGGACCTGGAAAGGATGTCTGCTAACTCTTTTTAATATAGGCTTTAAGTCAGGATGTAATATCATCTGCTTGTCATCTTCAGAGTTAGTAATTTCTTGCTTTTCATTTTATCTCTTTCTCTTACAACACTCTGCCAAATTTCCTCCCATGTTTATGTTTCTTTTCTGAGTAGCCTCTGTTTTCCACATGCTATAATCCCATTTTTGTTTTCAGCAGAATTCCTTTGTCTTAGGTTCACACCCGTAAATGGTATTCGTGATCCTCCAACTCTGTAATCATATAACACCTCTTTTGTTTTAACCATTGCCGTTTTAACCATTATAAAATACTGATTTTCTGTCTTTCAGTCTTTTTAGACCTCTGACCTTTGTTTTTAAAACAACTTTATTCCCTCCTTTGCTGCCATTCTTTTTCCCTTTGAACAATTTCCCACGACCATTACCGTAAAGGCACTGCCCTGGTCATTCAGGCCAGACTATTCCAGTACTGATAAATGTGCTCCCACTGCAAGAAGCAGTCATACCACATAAATTTATACTCTACCTTGGCCATTCTGACCCAAATATCCTCATTTTGTTGTGCTACAACTGCAACTTTTGGTCCAAGAAGGGTGACCATGAAGCATTGAATAAAGTAAACTATTTCTGTCAGATGTCAAGGCTTGACCAGAGGAAGATTCACTCAGGGTTTCTATTTTATTTCTTCATCTTATGACTTCTCTAATTCTGCAGTTCATCTCATTGGCTCCCCCCTCATCAATTCCAATGGGTAAGAGGACCATGTCTGAAAAGTGTTATCCCTTCTGTGGAAAGGTATTAACTTGTACCAGGGTCCACTCACGTCCTTCTTGCCAGGAACAGGGAATGCCTGGGTTGCCTTGCTCATCGGATTTTGAGGAAAAAGGGAAAATGGAGCTACCGGCTTTGAGAGACTTGTTGTAAAACACGTAAATATTTGAACTAAATATATTGTCAAATATAAACAATTGGCCTTAAGGTGAGAGTGTTCTGATGATCATGTAGTCCTGCAGTTAATGATATCCCAAGGACTGCCAGCCCCATTATGAGAATAGAAAAAAATATTGCAACAAACAGGAAGAAATATTTGCATACAACTTAGCAGATGTATATAAATAGAAGCCAGCTTACTTGAGTCGAAGTTGATGCTACCTTCAAACAGTGAGTCCCCTTTTTTTTCAGAGTTCAGAGCAGACTGGACACAGACTTGTCAATAGAGACAACCTCTCTTACTGAGAGGTTATGTGAAATGCTTCAGAGTCTGTTCAGATTTAACTGACCCTCTGAAGACCACCATTTAATGCAAAAAACTTCTAGAAGAGAAATGTTAATACAAACTACTGTAGCCAAGTTCTGTTTCAAAGCACCTGAGAACCAGGAAATATTCCTATAGAATCAAGTTCTATATGTAGAATAAAGGTAAACAGAATGGGTCCCTTGTTCCTCTCTGCCGCTCATGTGGATGAGGACTACTACCTCTGGGTTCTTCATTCAAATGGTCCTTCAAAAGAATGCAGTGGTGATATCTGCAAAAGAACATGGACGGTATCTTTTCCTACAACAGGCAGATTCAAGGGAAAATGCGAACTTTGGGCCCTCGGTTGATATTTGCAGAATCTTTTCCAGGATTAGCGTCCAGCAGGAACTCTGCCTAGCCAGGGATATCTGTGGTTCACACAGACATCTGCCTTGTCTCTGTAGTGCTGGGAATACTGATGTGAACAAGCAGGTCAGTAGATAAAGATGAATGACCATTGTATTTAGATTTTTGTTTAGCAGAATGCATCACGTGTGCTCAAGCAGGAAAGGTCAGCCACAAAATGGAGCAGGGACTTCCTAGCAACCTCACAGAAAACTTGCTGTGTTCTCAACTTCCAGAAATGTGTGCTCCTGCAGGTCTTTGTCTCTTTGTGTTCCAGTGGTGGTACTTGAGCAAGGTCAGATACCCTTCTTAGCGACAGGATGTGTCCCTGGCAAACTACCTGTCCATGTATGGCTGAAATGATCTTGGTTTTTCTTGGGATATAGGGATGTTGCATCAGAAAGTGATGTGTGAACCAGACTTTGCTGTCTTCCAAGCACTGGATGACCTTGTTCCCCTGGCAGCCTTTCAGATAGTATGTAAGGGTTCCTGAACTGTCATGGGGCTCCCTAATGGTGCTTCCAGCATTTCTGATGCTTCAGATGTCTGTGGATAAACAGTATGAACTATAGAAGCATGTTGTGCTTTATTATGTCAGGACAGTATACATACAGCATGTTCTACAGCTTCCAGCAAGAACAGGCAGGAAGCGACTGATGAAGCTGAGGAAAAGCTGAGAGCAAGCCACTTCAACTGATGGTGAGGAACCATTTGTCTTCTCCTAGCAGTGTGAGCAGGAAAAATAGGATCTCCAGTTTCAAGATTAGTAACAAATTTGTGTGAGTTGGCAATTCTTTGAAAATGAAATTTATTAAACTTGAAATAAAGCGTTCACCCCTGAATGAGCATCTCCTTTTGTAAGCTTGCAGGATTTTGCTCATGGGCTTTTTACCGCTATTCTCTTGTTTGAATGAATGTACCCTTAAGGCCAAAATCCATATTGCTGAGTTATTATGAAATACAGACTTTGTCTCAGTGTGCTCCTACACTTAGGATTGCTCAACAAATGATACCTGCGTAGTAATTTTCAAATGAATGACTGAAAAAAGACAGAGAGGAGAAAGTTGTAGCTGGTGGGCTGTTTGTCATCACCTGAAGCAATGGCAGGGAAAATACTGTTTTGTATATTCTAACATTGATGTGTGTGCCACCAGGTATATTTTGTTCATGCCATTATCAGCACTGGTATGGATAGCAACAACAGCTTACTTGCAGTGTTAGGGAATGCATGTACTTGAACACATTGTTGACAGATTTTAAGTGTGTATTTAAAATCTGTTGGGGAGAAATGTGATTAAGAAAAAGCAAATTTTCTCACATGGTGAATTTTTTAATCCTAAAGGTCAAGTTCAAGCTTTTTCAGCATATTGGTATGAGGAATTACCCATTAATTAAATAACATGAGTCATATTATGCCATTGATTTTTTATATATTTCTTGCTGTTTGATTTTAATTAATGGGGGTTCTGTACATAGAGGATTCAAGAAGAGGTCCAATGTTTAGAATCAGAACGATAAAGTAAAACATGAATATGGTAGTGTGATTTGCTAATTGCAGTAACGATTGCCATCAGTGCCTCCTACACTGTGCTCAGTGAGATTGCCGTATGTCACAGGAAGTCTTCTCTGAGAGAAGACAATCAAACCCAGAGTTGATTCACTGTTACTAAAGTGAAGAACAGTATGCTTTTAATCTCTTTAGAGAGCATTAAACACCTTGAAGGTGAAGTAGGGTGTGTTTACTCAAAAATTCAACCTATATTTTAATCGATAAGCTTTGCATTTTCAGGGAGAAGTGCAGCTACCAAGACTTGAAACGTTTAAAAGAAGGCTGTGATTCAGCATGCTCCTGCTCATGGACCTGATGCACGTTTTGCCAGTTGCTGACTACTGAGGTAGGTAGGTTGTGTTTAAACTAAGATCTGCAACCCTTTGATCAAAAGCAGGGGCTGTATATGTAATTTTCTGTGTAACATAAGACAGTGCTCTCTCCAAAGATCGTACTGTCTAAAACAGTGTTAGGGCTGAGAATTTGTCTGTGCGGAGGCTTCTGCATAACACAGCTGTGCTGTATGTTTCTTTTCATAACACGGTGAAACTTAGCAGCTCAGAGAAAGCTCTTGCAGCACTGAGAAGTCAGGAAACTAAAACTAGATTGGCAGGGAGAAGAGCAGATGTAGCTAACAAAGTGTTTAAAATGATAATGCCATTTTTTGTTTGTGTTTATTTTCATTATACTTCTGTCCTGTTCTGCAGTCTTTTATCTGGGTATACAGAACAGTTGACCTTCACAGGAAACAAGGACGTCTTTCATGGGGTCTAGAGGCCATGGAGACCAAATCCAGGGATGCCATCTTTCATGAGGCTGTGATATTCCTGGACTGACTCCTTAGTTAGCTCATGGTGCATACAAAGAACACCTTCAGTTAGGCCAGTCATTTCACTTATTCCACCTTCTGTCTATAAGTGTCAGGTTTGCTAGGATATAACTGGCACAGTGCCTGCTTTTTTCTAGTTTTAACCATACTGTAGGATTGAGTCCTAGCTGAATAATTATCGTTCCCAGAATGAAATAGATAAATTGGTCTTAAACAAATAATGTTGAAATTTGCCACAGTACCAAGTCCTTAATGAACTGAGGAACATCAAAAGTGAAGTATTCTTCTAAATGTTGGTTTCCATGTTTGTCATTTTCCGTGATTGTCACAGGAAACTGAACATTCTGCTGAAAGTCAGGAGCTTTCATTTGGAAAGCTTGTTTCATTCTTTCTGCATATCACAAACATGTATGTTCCAAGCTCTGCATACAGTCACTTCCAGCCACTGTCAGAGCATACTATCCCTCTCTTTCTAGGGAATCTTTCAGTATATTTTGGGATAGCTTCACCACAAATGTATCCCACTTTGTGAGAGAAACATATCTGTACGATTTCCTCTCCTCATACAATATAGTTGCTGTATAAGGCAGAAACAGCAATTAAAATTGATGTTACCTATTTAAATATAAATTATTATATTAGGGTTTACTTTGAAAATGTAATATGACTGACAACTAGTCATTATTTTAAATAACTTCTGAAGCTAACAGCAGTAGACAGTGTATATGCATGTGTGTGCAAGGGTCTTTTGTAATGCTTGGAGGTTGCTTAACTGACACCCCAAATCAGGGAGCATTATTTTTCAAACTAATTTTTATTGTCATCCAGTTTATTCTTTTCCTCATGCTGTGTCCTCCTCATATCAATTTTAGACTAAAATACTACAAAAACAAAAAAGGTAATGGCACTTTCCACAGTATTTCAAAAGGTTTTTAAGTGGAAAAAGGTATTTAGTATTTTTAATAAGCATCTTCAATACTATTGAGTTGGTTTCTTTGTTCATATCACAAGATTAATTATGCTGTCAAGCACTTTCAAGGCCTGCTTAACAAAGATTCAGTGATATAATGGTTTGCTTCGCATTGCCTTTTTTCTGCATAGCAATCACAATCAGCATTAGACAATTTAAAACCCTTTCACAAGCCGGAAGTTCTGAAGAGCCTTTTAATCAACAAAAGTAATTTCGCAAACAACTAGATACAGCGTTTTTCATGTTAACTAACTTGTGTTAAACTCTACTATATGTGTGGATCTCTGGTTCTGGTGATAAATTGTTCAGATTTGTAGGAGACTGGGAATGGGGAACACAGCACAACATGCATTTGCACCCCATGGAATTTGTAATTTCATATCTTTCTTTTGCTTAATATAAACACGGCGCTGGTACTTTGTTTCACATTCACGTGCTTTAATTTTCCCTGACAGTACTGTTCTTCTATAATCACTTAAAATATTTTCAGAAAAAAATACCAGGGAATGTAACTCTGTGCTTTAAGACAGACCACTGTTTTTGTTGGACAGGTTAGTGATGATAGATTGAGATTCTGAAATTCAAGTTAAAGTAGGAAAATCTGTTTAGAAATTTGCCTCATAAAAATAATCTGGCTGAAGAATGGCTTATACAGTAATTTTATTGCCATATAGCATGATAAGCAATCCCATGTGATTTAGAAGCACTTATTTGATGGAGAGATTGAAAAAGCAAAAATACACGACATTATGTTTTTTAGTGGTTTTTTTTTTTTTCAACCCCATTTATAAATGAAACTAACCTGTTAATGACACCTTTAAAACACTTTTTTTTTTTTTTTTTTTTTTTTCCCCTCTAAACTGCTAGAAGCATTAATTTGTACTGTTGCTGCATGTGGTAATTAGCAACTTCAGCAGTGATTTTCTCTGCCCTAAACCTTTTGTGTTTGACACTATTCCAACCCGGGAGAGGAGTGACCCTGGGATACAGTGCTACAGGACAAGTGGAGCAAATCCTGTCACAAGAAATAACAGGGTCAGAAGACATTGCTAATGAAGTCATAGCAACTGGTTTAAAGAGCCAATCAGAGAAGGCAACAATCTGTAAATGAGGATATAATTAGCAGAAAAAATAACATGCTTTGGTTGGATTCTAGGGGAGCCAGTAATGAAGGCAATGACTAGATATTGAGAGAAATTCCAAAAGATTAGAGCAAACATTGTGCAACAAAGAATACCTAATTAGCAAAAAAAGTGAATATGCCTTAATTAGAAGGAAAATATGTGATTGAAAGACATAGAGAAGACTTTTAATATGAATACAACAATGAATGTTAGCCCAGATCTGTGACAAGAAAATATCTTTACCATCTTGATAAACGGTAGTGAAGAAACTGGTCCGTAAATTCACATCTTTGGCATGATGCTAATATTATGAAAACAATTTTGAGGTAGTAATTTAATGGACTTATGCCCAATTTACACATTTGCTGTCCCCTAACACAGCACTGCAGTCAAAGCAACTCTGCATCTTTTAGCTGGCCTTAACATTCTTATGATGTGAAGAAGTAGCTATTAAAAGACTTTCAGATGGGTGACACAGGAGGCAATGCTCAGTTCAGGTATCTCTCTAATAGGATAAAAGCCCTGGTGTTTTTTCATATGAAGAAACAGTTCGTGAGGTTGAGGCCCAGCGTGTGTGTATGTAACTCCTACACTGGTTCAACTTGCATTTAAATGTTGCTATCTTTTGAAAGTAAGGAGTTTTCAAAAATTCATTGATGCAAAGAAAAAGCTTCCACTGACTTCAGTAGGACTTCTGGATGAGACTCTGAGCAGAAAACACGGAAATTTTATTAGTAAAAATTAAACATGTTATTATCCTGAGCATAATAGACCCAAATAGAAGAATCCCATAATGGATTGTGCCAGTACAGTGTATGTACAGTATTTATGACTAGCAGTGATGAGAAGTATAATGTTCTTCTGCTTATCATTTTATTACAATAGAAAAATCAGAACTCTAACTTGCTAATAATTTTTCACTTTTATAGACATCTAAATGATATTATATTTCCTCCCTTTTTCTCTTTTTACAAAATGGTTCTAGGATATTGATTGTCATTTAGTTTTACTCATGATATTTAATTGTCATAATTAGCAATCTATGTCTCATTCTCTATCTTAAAAATATCCTGTCAATTTTATAGCATATTTATAGATTAATTTAAATGTATAATTTAATTTATTACTGCATACCTTTGGTTTGTCTGTAACATTAAAATACTTATGGTACAGAATATTTTAATTAAAACTATTTATCAAACGAAGTCCAGGTAGCATCCTTATCCTTGTTTGCAGTAGGGGGTTCTGGCTGTGAAAGCAAGCAAAATAATGGGTCAATTAAAAAAAAAAATCTAAATATAGCTTTTTCAAAGATCTGATTGCTTAATTCAAGGTAAAAAAAAAAAAAAAGTAAAATAAAATAAAATGTTTGTCAACAGATTTCGGAAATTAAATTGTGATATTTTCCCCTTGCAAATATAAAATCTGCCAACATCAGAGCCAGAGCACAAGTAAATTAGACGAGAAATGGGTTTGAATTTTCATGTGTGACATATCTCAATTTGACACTCAGTGTCTACAGGAAATCAGGATACTGTTTTCAGAGGGTTCTTCTTGAGAAATGAGTTGTACCACTAATTTTTTTCTGGCTAGGAAATTCACCCTCTATATATAAGAATCAACATACTTACCCTTTTAGGTCAAATGTTGTCATACATTTAAAAAGAGAAAAAAACTTTTAATGATATTTCTAATGAACCAGGAGTTATTAGTTTACTGTGCTAGGGAAAACTACAGCATATCAGCATGATCAAACTACCTCTAGCGTAACTGCATCAAGGTTTTGCTGCAGCTCTCAGTTGACAGTAAGTACTACCGTTCTTTTTCCATGTCTGCTATTAATTCTTCCCTAGAACTGTCAGGTACCCAGAGATTAAGAGAAATATACTAAAAATATCAATATGTTTCTCTTCATATTTTAGGTAGTGTTTCTCCACTGATGCTATTTTAAATTAAGCAGTGCAATACTGTTGAAAGTTATGACTGGCCCTGATAATAACATGGATTAAAAACATTAGCAAGTTGGGGAAAAAAAAAAAAAAGAGAATCAGCTGACAACTTAATTGTTTGGCTTGTATGCAAATATTCTGACAATAATTTGCCAATGCTTTTGAATATAAGTTTAGGAACACATAATTATAACATTAATTGTTTCTTGTGCTTTAATTCTAGGTTTCTGTCACTAAACAGAAGAACTGTAATTCATGAGGAAATATAAAAAGTATATTAATTTTGTATTCAATTAGCTCTAAGCATATTCTGTTGCAATGCAGTGCAGAATTACTATAATTATTTATGTTAATCTACAGAGTGAGATACAATAAGGCCAATGTAATGGATTGTCTTTATGCTGCATAGCAGTGTCTTTTGAATCACCTTCCGTCTTCACAAACAACAGCACTTATCTGAATGTGCTAGTGGTAAGGCTGCAGGGTAAAGACTTAGTAAAAAAGGAAAGATACAACACTACAAAATCCACCATTCACTTAACTATTTGTTTTTAAAACCACCTCATAATAAAACTGAATAGCTGAACCTAAGTCTGAAGTGCGAAGAAATGATGCTGAACGGTTGGGTTGGAATTTGGCCTGAATCTCCTTATTCCAACTGTGAATGCTAAATTAATCACTCAGATTTATGTGGAGGTGAAAGCTACACAACATCTTCATCAAAGAAAAATAGGGACATCCCTCAATAAAATGTGTGGTAACACTTTATTGACAAATGAATATACAGCTCCTCCCAGTTGCTCTATTTTAATATTGAGGACTGTAGCCGCATTGCAATTACATTACCAGACTGGTGTTTGCTAAAGATGCTTCGGTCTCTTCTGCTGCTCTGAAAACATATTTTACAAAGAGGCGGGTAGGGAAGGGAAGGCCAGGCAAAGGCAGGTTGTGCTCCATCCCTGAGCCTTATGGGGAAATAAGCCATGCACGGATAATAACAGTGCAAACAAGTTGATGCTGCTATTTTTAAACAAGCTATTATTATTGACTAACAGAGGTTGCTGGAGGTGGTATGTTGTTAATGACAAAAGCTCTGGAACAGTAAAATTGCTACTAATCTATGAGCTAGAGAGCCTGATAATGAGAAACACCTAAGTGCAGAATTAAACAGTCCTCTAAAATCATTTCCGCTACATGTTACTTGATAAGGAGACATAGGTTCCCAAGCAGATCTTTTTCTATCTCAGAAATCTCTGTCCGCAGAGATCTGTATTACTTCTCCATTCACAAATTAGAGGGATGAGAAAGTCCTGAGGGGATTATTAGTGCAGCTTTCTAAAAGAGAGATACCCAATTACTTTGAAACAGGCAAAAAAGCATTCCGGGACAAGCTATTTTAGGGACCATGCAAAGAAAAAAATAATTATGCCATGATCCTTAAGCAAGTGTGTGAATATGTAAAGCATTGGAGCATTGTGTGAAACTTTTTTCAGCATTGTATGGATGAAGAGTCATCACTGAACAGTCCAAACAATGTTTAGGTTTTTTTTCCTACTTATCTGAACCCACTGACATTTTTTGTTTTTTTTTTTCTTACTCCACAGAGACATGATGTGAGGAGGCCAGACCTGAACAAATTCCCTGGGTTGTGAATCATGTGGAAGCTCTGTGGGGGAACTGCACCTCTTGTTCAGTATAGACAGTTGTGAACCTGCTGACTGCATCTTTCTCCATCTTTACAATAGAGGTGAAGGAATTGTGATGTTCTTCAATATCTCTACAAATTCAGATTATAGGTATCTAAGTTTGGAACTTCTAGTGCTGCAGTTCTTAATTTCTACATGTACTGGATACAACTAATAACTACATACAAATTGTTCTGGAAATTCTGCCAGAATATGCAAAATGCGTTAGTTTTGTTTTATTAAATTTCCTTAAAAAGAACTTAGAATATTTTGACTTCAGTTAGGAACATCACTCAGTTCTGAGAACAACTGCTGAAAATCTGTAACATTAACTTAGGTTTTCTTTTTAAACCGTAAGCCTCAAAAATTGGACTTTCTCATAATTTGAAATGAAGTCTATAAATCAGCCTACATCAACTTAACACTGACTTTCTGAAAAGATTTGTGAACTTTAGCAGCTCTTTCAGCAGGCCTGCTCTGCATTTTGAGTTTGTAATGCAATGCAATCCAAGTGAGATTTATATGACTTCACGTTTTGTTGCAAACATTCACAGCTCAAAGCTATTACCTGACTGTCTTCCATATCAGGCCATTTATGTATCTAAGAAAACACTGGCATCTGTTTAATATTTTATTGCTTTAAAAATATCTTTGTTGTTCAGATATAATCTTGCTCTAGCATTTTCATGAATAGAGTATTTAATTTATTCTTGCGCTAGAGCTAAGGATGTGTACCTTCATAAAAGTAGAATTAACTCTGAGTTGACCCATAGTCTACATTGCAAGAAAATAATGCAATAGGAACCTTTCCATCAGATTAGACTGTATTTTTCTTTTGTTTTATTTTTTACTTATTTTTTTCTACTGTTTCTGAGTGTTTTCGTTGATTGTGAACAGAAAATATGCAATGTAACAATTCATAATGAACTTCCAAAAAAATACATTAAATGCATGCATATCATCATCAGGCCCTAGCAATCTGTGTTATCACTCATACATTAATTCTTAAGAAGTTTGAAATATTTACAGGTCGATCCTCCTTATTATTAAAAATGCATTATCAGGTATTTGTGGCTAAACTTAACGTGAAGATTGGAGGAAAGTAACCTTAATTATTTGGCTGTTAGCGAGGAGGACAGGGTAGGACGCTGGCTTTTAGAAGTGTTGCATGTCTATGTTTATTGTGTTACACACAGCAGCCTTTGAGACAGATGAGGGGCACCTTAAGGGGCTTAATGTCTAATCAGGGTTTCCTTCAGCTGTTACTGGTCCCAGATAAAATTTAGTAGTAGTTGCTGCAAGAGCTACTTGTTCTACGAAGAAATAAAGGAGCATAAGGCTATATGTGCTTCTCTGTACTGCAATTCTTTATGCTCTCCTCAACTGGTAAAGAGGTAGAGAAGAATAAACATAAGTAGGAAAACATTCATTCTTTTACTTTGTTGAGAAAAAGGCAAGATAGGAGATGTGTATTTCAGATCTTTTTTAAAGCAATGAGATCTTAGTAGGTGTTCTTAATTCTGTGTGCTGCACCAGTTAAAAAAATTCCTTCCACACTGGAAAGGACCCATGCTTTCGCAATTCACACATTCGACTATATAGTTAAAATTTGACTATGATTCTCGTTATAGTATTTAAAAGAAACTTCTTGTTACAATAGCTATGCTTCACATTTGGTTTTCTTCTGTCGTGTGGAGTTATCCTGAAGCAAGTTCAAACAATCCTAAATGCAGAATTCTGATTTCAAATCCAACTCTAAACCTTCTTTGGTTAGATATAAAATAATAAATGCATCTGCCCAAGTCTCTAAAAGCATGCAAATTTTGATTACATGGTGGATTCATTTAGATTAAACTATAAGAAGTTCCAGAGGGACTCACCATTGTTTTTCATCCCTTTGCCTCTCAAAGCTCTTAATCAAACAGATGTCTTCCGCTGAGTCTCTGAAGAGGCTCCAAATGAGGGCCAGTTTGGATTATGAGGAGCATGTTCTAGAGTCTTGTGGGCTTCAACGAGGAAGCCTTGGACTTCCTCCTGTTTTATGTAATGAGAAAAATAGCATAGTTGTTTCTGCTAACTGCAGCTGTGACAGCGTGGCAGAGGGATAGAAGTGATTGTAAGCTTTTTTCAGTCTTCTTAGTTGTCATCTTGGACATGCGTCATATCTCATGTCAGATAAACGTGGAGTGGGTCAAGCTGAGATCAAGGTTTTTGTGCAGAGATGAGACAGCTCTTAGCAAGCTGTTGAAGTCCTATGAACAGGAGTCTGATTGAACATGATGGCAGTGACAAAGTGTCGTCTGGAAGAAGTGGCTCAAATATGCTCTCTCTGGAGTAAAACATGCGCTTACGGTGTTCTGTGTGCATAATGTTGAGTCCCTGTGAACTTGCATGTTGCCCATGAGAGCCAGTGGGTTCTTGCCACTTTTGAACTCTGTTGCTTTTACAGATTCTCTGTTTCCTGTGGTTGGTCCTATAAAGAACAGTGACAGTGGAGATTCCCAGGCTAGATCCCAGTGATCTAGCTGGTGACCTAATGAAATTGACCTAATGATAACTGGTGACCTAATGAAATTGACATTATAACCATAAGGCAAATGCTTGCATGAGAAGCAAGACAGATTGGCTAACTGAAGACAGAGGTACATGCTAATATAGCTAGGAGATAGCTTTATTTCATACATCTGTGTCTGTGTGGGTCTTTAACATCCCATTTATTTTGTTGAAAATGGAATAACGCCCTGATCTTTGAAAATATGTGTTTCAGAATGTAGTGTGCCTTGGTGTCAAACATGGCTGTATCCTGAGAGCAAAATATTAACCTATAGTAACAGTACTTTACACTTACCTAGCAGCTCTCAAATAATCATCTCTGTGCACTTTAATTAATTAACCTTTACAACAACATGTCTTTGAGGGTTAGCTAAGGATCAGAACTGAGTGAGCTGAGGAAAAAGTTTCTTATTATTCATTTGTACAAACACTATTTTTTATTTGAGTGTATTTGTGTTCTTTTTACAGATTTGCTTTCAGATAATATTTCTTAGAATTTTTTTTATCATAAATTCTCACATATTCATCAAATAAAAATAGGATTTCATATATTTGTTAGTGTATTTTTGAGTGTTCATTGCTTCTCACTTTCACTTCTCCTCACTGTTCCTTCTTATAGTAATGCTGATTCTCAAGTCTGTCTGCTCCACTGTGAACTCCAAAACATTAAGTAAGGCAAAATTGCTCAAAACTTGCATTGAACTGGTTGCCAGAATGGTCCAATTAGAGAACAAAACCACACCAGGCCTCTTAACTAGCCACATTGCAGTGCTCAAAGTTTCACTAACAGCTTCTTAGGAAGATAACCGTAAGTAAAACACAAGTCAAAGACATTTGTGAGTATTTTGAATAATTACTATATTTAATTTTGCTATGAGTTTTAACTTGCTTAGAAATTGATAATAAGTAAGTAGTGTACATGTTCAGAATCTAGGAATCTTTCGGCTATCCTCTGAGAAAAAGCAGAGAGGCCTCGGTCTGTTTTGGCTGGGGGAGAGATGATCTTATCTCCACATATGGGGTCCAGGCTCTTTTCAGCAGTGTGCAGTGACAGGACAAGGGGCAATGAGCAAAAATTGGAACACAGGAAGTTCCATACAAAATGAGGAAGAGCTTTCCTTTAAAGGTAAGAGAACACTGGAACAAGCTGCCCAGAGAGGCTGTGGTCTCCTTCCTTGGGCATACTCAAAATCCCACCTGGACTCCTTCCTGTGCTACCTTCTGTAGGGAACCTACTTCAGTGATCTCCGGTGGTCCCTTCCAACCCGTGTGAATGTGTGATTCTGTGACTGCGTCCTGATGTTCACATTGCACCGTCTCTCTTAAATGTATGGTAGAATAACATGATGTGAAGGCATTCTCTAGAAGAGAATGTCCTTAACTACTTAAGATACATGGATTTTATATGGTGTTTTAAATACGTTGCTAGATAGTAGAATTTAGAGCGAATGGAGTATGGAAATATCAGACTAGGTTTGCTGTGTTGGATGTAAACCACTAATGGTAACTGAAGAAAATTTGGAAGAGGATTTTGATTCCCCGCTTCCTTTTCCCTATAGCCTAAAATTGATGGAGTTTCTTTATGTTCTCAGTGTATTGCAATGTGGCGATGATTAGCTATTGCTATTAGGTTTGTAAAGAAAAAGATTCTCTGTGTTACTTTCATTTGAAATGTTTTCTTCCTGGTAATTATTTGATACATCTTGAACCAGATTAGCTTATTCAGGTTTGTGGTTGATCTAATAGTCGTGTTCCAACATTCACAGGTGCCAATTTGGCTGTAGAGCCACTTGGATCATGTTTAGCTCTAACTGCTAAAAAGATCTCTGGTCATTTATCTTAGTGAATCAGACAGTATCTAAATGTGGATAGAAATCCAAACTAGACTTTAGCATTGTTTATATGGCACTAAAGGTCTCTTTTTCAGAGGCTAACTCTTCAACTTTTGTCTTTTTGGTTTGTGTTTTGTTGTTTTTTTTCACTTTTAGGTTTACACTTTCAATTGCTCTATCACATGTTGTTTGTTTGCTTACACGGAGTTTTCATAAAATGACCTTGTGCTAGGATTTCTCTCTTAAGATTAACTATTCTTTGTTGTTCTATTGTTTCATTAAAAAAAAAAAAAAAAAAAAAAAAAAAAA